CAGCACAGTGATCAGGCTTACCGATTCAAAGAGGGTGACGACGTGGATGTCAGGATCTGGATCTCCTCGCCAGAAAAACCTTGAGCTCTATAGCACTTGCCCACGGGACACGGGGCGCAGTAACAATGGAGGAGAAGGGAGGAGGAGGAGGAGGAGGAGGTGGACGAAGAAGTGCAGGAGTCGTTGGAAGCAGAGCAGTGATACAATCGATGGCCGATCCATCGCCGTTCCATCGCAATCGATTGATCTTCGATGGAGGTGCGATGGAGTGGCGATGCAGCGGCGATCGATTCTATCCTCACTCGTTTTACCTAGTGAAATCCAAAGCTGAGGGCATCAAGAGGATCCTTGAGCAGGGCCTGAGCATCGAACCGCTGACCACTTTCACAAATACTGGATGGGAGATTGGCACGCCGTCAATGAAAGGCAGCCATACGTACCCAGCCGATCTCTCTTGCGCTATAGCGCAGCTAGCATCTGCGCTAGTTCATCGCGGTTTTGCATCGCATTCTTAGGGGGCCTCTACTGGGCGAGTTGGGGGACCTGATGACTGGAAATGCTCGCTTGAGGCGCGATGATGCATCGACTCACTCACCCCACCTGGCGACAAGGACGAGGAGGGGGGAGAGATGAGGGAATGGGGGGGGAGATGGGGGTGAGGGAAGAGCATGAAGAAGAAGCGGGGGAGGAAAATGGAGGAGCGACGGCAGCGCAGTAGAGACCCCTCGTCGCTGAGGGGGTGGGCGCGTGGCTTCTCCTTCGTGGCCGCGCGAGCCACGCAAGGGAAGGCGAGAGGCAAGCTTTCCGTCGCCGGTTGTTTCACCGCTGGCCCGACGCCGATGGGGTAGGCGGAAGGAGCACAAAGGGCAATGCATCGCCGCCCCGTCGCTACCCCATCGCATCTCCATCGGAATTCCATCGATGGCGATGGAGTGGCGATGGAACGGCAATGTACTGTCTCCTTGCTTTTCTTTCTCGGCCTACCGATGGTCCACCACCTCCATCCTCTCCCCCCTCTCCTTCGTTTATTTATACCGTGTTCCACCTCGTCATTCTTCCTCGCCCTCCCGACCCTCCCGTTGGTTTCCTCCTCCTCCTCCTCCTCCTCCTCCTCCTTGTATTCCTCATCCTCTTCCTCCTCCTCCTCCCCTTCCTTCTGCATCCTCACTCCCCCACTTCCCCACTCCGTCTGCCTCGACTCTCCCCCCCCTCTACACTCTCCTGACCGCGCCATCCCCCGCCACAATCTCCCCCTCATTCTCCTCGCCACCGCTCCCATCCGAATCCCAAGCCTCTTCCTCAGCCGTCGGGGCGCGAGCGTTAGGGTCCCGCTGGATTTTCGCTGCGACGCGATGTATGCATCGATGTTGCCATCCACATCAGACTCCGACGGGGGGATGCCGTCTGCGAGTACGCCGGCGGATTCCGGCGGGGAAATGGCGCTGGTCAGGAGGGTGGAGGGCAGGGCCATATATTCTAAGACGATGGGTCGGGCCATATCTAAGACGATGGCTCGGGCTCGTCGGCGCAACCTGCAGGAGGCCCCGAGGGGGCCGATCACCCCGTCTCTCGCCCCCTCGCCCTCCCGTCCCCTCGTTCCCTCCCCTCCTCGCCCTCTTTGACCCCCTCGCACTCCTATCCCCGCCATCCCCCTGCCTTCCCTCTCCCGCAACCCTTCTTTCCCGAGGCAGCTTCCAGGAAAGCATTCGGCATCAGGCAGCTGGCGAACGCCAGCAGAGAGCTTGCGAATGCGGAGTTTGACGGCATCGTAATTCGGAACCTCCGTTCCTCTGGGGAGGCCTTGATCGGGTACTCTCGAAAGCCACCCCCGCAGTCGTGAATGCTAGTTTCAACAACTCCCCTCCTCGATCATTGATTCCCCCTTCACCCCTCCCTCCATTGGGGCTTTCGAGATCCCCATTTAGAGCGATTGATTCGACGTCTGCCGAATATGGTAAGGGGAGGGTGCGTGTGTGTGTATCTAAGGGACGTAGCAAGTAGGTTTGAATGCCCTGGCATGGCGGCACCCGGCATGACCCTCCCTCCCTCCCTCCTCCCTCCCTCCTCCTCCTGCCCCGAAACAAGCTTACAGAAGCCAGGATGCATATGCGCCGATGCCCGTGCCCAGACTTTGCGTTATGGTGGTCGAACTCATAAACAATTATTCCAGAAAACTCCCAAAACCGTACACCTCTAAAGTTGACTGCCGCTGAAACCTCAAAACCAGCAGGCACGGACCGTTTGAACGGGCCCTGATCAACTAAACGGGACGTGGGGGCCACCTCGGGCAGGTGCCTGCGAATCGCCCTTACTTTAAGCCTTTACGTTAGATCTTATTTTGCGAGCCTCGGCAGCCTTACAATAAGCTTAATGTTGTACGCATCGGCAGCCTTGCAATAAGCCTCACAAGAAAGCCTCATGACATGCCTCACAACATGCAGCACGTGAGTTTCAAGGACGTCTTCGAGCGCCGCCGGGCGCTGCAAGCCTCATAACACGCCTCACAACATGCAGCACGAGAGCTTCGAGGAAGTCTTTCGAGCGCCGCCGGGCGCTGCAGGCACGACAACCTCACCATGCTATAAAAAAGCGTTGACTGCACACGCTCAATTGTGCTTCACAGTCCTGCTGCGCCCACTCGTGCTTCACCGTCCCGGTTCGCTGTGTCACCGTCCTGGTCCGCTCTGCCGTCGTGCCCGTCTCCTGCCGCTGCCGCCCCTCCTCGGTCCTTCTGACCTTCCTCCTCCGCCTAGGTTGTGTCCCGACCGTCTGTCTCCCTCCTTCTCCCTTTCCTTCTCCCTCTCCCTGCGAGCTCCGTCGAAGGGGGGAGAGGTCCTTGGAATGCCACGGGGTGGCAAATGCGGGCGCCCCAGGGGGAGCATGATTTGTCCGCCCCAGGGGGCGCAACAAATCAGAACCAGAGCGCGCGAACCGGAACGTCTTCCAAATCTGACCGGAATCTCTTCCCAACCATTCGGAACCTCGCCCGAGTCTTATCTTATCGGAACTTCTCCCAATCTGATCGGAATCTTACTGGAATCTCTGGGAATGCTCCTCCGAACGCCGAAGGGCGAAATGGTGGTTGTGACGCTAGCCCCAGGGCCACAACTGGTACAATGCAAACGTGCCGTCACTTTCAAAAACGGGTTTTCCAATGCCCACTCAACAAGGGATCTCATGGAATACCCTCTGAATGGGCCTTGCAACATTGTAGCGCGAGCACCCTTCCAATGCACCTCATAAGAATATCAGGAGAATGGCGGGTCTCACGACCTGGAAAGTGTGTGTGTGTGTGTTGTGTGGTGTGTGAGTGTGTTTTGTGTGCTGTGTGTGTGCTGTGTGTTGTGTGTGGTGTGTGTGGTGTGTGTGGTGTGTGTGGTGTGTGTGGTGTGTGCGTGGTGTGAGCGTGGTGTGAGCGTGGTGTGTGTAGTGTGTGTGTGTGGTGTGTGGTGTGTGTGGTGTGTGTGTGGTGTGTGTGGTGTGTGTGGTGTGTGGTGTGTGTGTGTTGTGTGTGGTGTGTGTTGTGTGTTGTGTGTAGTGTGTGGTGTGTGCGTTGTGTGGTTGTTGTGTGGTTGTTGGGTGGCTGTGTGTTGTGTGTTGTGTTGTGTGTGGTGTGTGCGCGTTGTGTGTGTGTGTGCTGTGTTGTGTGTTGTGTGTGTTTGTGTGTTGTGTGTGTTGTGTGTGTTGTGTGTTCTGTGCGTTGTGTGTGATGTGTGTGTTGTGTTGTGTGTGTTGTGTGTTGTGTGTCGTGTGTGTTGTGTGTGTGTTGTGTGTGTATGTTGTGTGTGGTGTGTGTTGTGTGTGTTGTGTGTTGTGTGTGTATGTTGTGTATGGTATGTATGGTGTGGATGCTGTGTATGTGTGTGTTGTGTGTGGTGTGTGTTGAGTGTTGTGTGGTGTGTGTGGTGTGTGTTGTGTGTGTTGTGTGTTGTGTGTTGTGTGTGTGTTGTGTTGTGTGTGTTGTGTGTTGTGTTGTGTTGTGTGCTGTGTGTTGTGTGTTGTGTGTTGTGTGCTGTATGTTGTGTGTTGTGTGTTGTGTGTTGTGTGTTGTGTGGATGTGGGGGTGGGTGTGGACGTGGGTGTCGGTGCGGGTGTGGGCGTGGGCGTGTGCGTGTGTGTGTGTGTGTGTGTGTGTGTGCGTGCGTGCGTGCGTGCGTGCGTGCGTGCGTGCGTGCGTGCGTGCGTGCGTGCGTGCGTGTGTGCGTGTGGGGGGTCAAGGATTTAAGAGGGGGAAATGCTAAACACATCGTCTACGGTTGTGGGGGGGGGCTTTCGATAAGGATACCGTGCGAACGGACTGAGGAGCCCTGAGACTGTAGTCCCGCACGGCGTGCTCACGGGTAGTTGGCTCTTTCGCATCGGCTACTATCTCTTCCCACAAGAAGATTGCGGTTTCTGGGTCGATACATTCCGCCATCGATCCCAATCCCATGGCCCGCCGATGCTGTGCCTCGGCCGCCGTTCACGGATGATTGGTTTCTGACTGGGGCAAAACAGGCAGAGGGAGGGGAGGAGGGGCAGGAGGAGCAAGAGAAATATGATGACGAGGAAGAGGATTAAAATGAGGAGGATAATGAAAAGGAATATGAAAAGGAATCTGAAAAGGAGGATGAGGAGGAGGAGGGAGGGGGAGGAGCAAGGGGGAGGAACGGCCCCATGTTTCTCAATGGGGCTCTCGCCTGAAACCTCCCCGTTGTTACAGGCAGACGTTCGGAATCAAGAGCTACACGGGTAGAGGGCGGTTCCTTTGCAGAACGGGGCCCCCGCGCGAATACCAAGCCACTGGGGCATTCGCCTTTCAAGGTGGGCCTTGGAGCGGGAAGGTATGTTGCGGTATCGTTAACGTATTTTGGGTTTAGTCGGGTGTTGGTTCCTCCTCGTCCTTATGTCCCTTCTCCTCCTCCTCCCTTTTTCTCCTTTCCCGCTCCTCCTCCTCCTTTTCCTCCTCCTCCTCCCTTTCTCCTGTTCCCACTTCTCCTCCTCCCCCTGCCCCTCCTCCTCCTCCTCCCCGGCACGGGTTTAGCTGAGCAGCGAGCGGCGTTTGCAATGTATCGGCTCAATTTTGGAAAATGGTTCAAAATGCAAGAACCCTGGGTTCTTGCAGTCTAAGCGAACATCTAGGTTCTTAACGCAAGAACCGTTGGGACCACAAGGAATTGCCGCGCACAACGCTCAAAACTTGTCCTTATGACATGTTCTGAAAATGTAACACTGACAAAATCAATCCCCTGCACTCGGCGCTTGCAACAAATTATTCGCACCCGGTTACTTCCTCGCGGTGGGAAAGAACACATCCGGTCTATCCCCATCCGCCTTGCTGAAAATGAAGCGCCCGACGACGTTGATGTTCGTCTCAGTATTGGACTCAATCGCCTCCATAGCACCAAACAGCGTGATCATATAGGCCTTGAACTCATTCAATTCCTCCGCATTCAGAAACGTGCTTACTCTGATGCCGGAACCCGAATCCTTGCGCGCCTTGTTGAAAAAGCTGTGCAAGAAGGTGCCGTCGTGCCACTCAGACAGCGGACCAACGGGGCCAAGGGGGCGCTGCAGGCACTGGCTGAGCTTGTCGGCGGCGCTCAAACTGGAGCGGTAGAGACCGAAGTCATGGGTGGGCCCTGGCATCGGCTGCTCTACCTTGCCCAACTCCCACTCTTTCAAAATCTCCTTGCGCCTAGCATGGCTGGTGCTGAACATCGTCACGATGGCGGCGATGTTCACCCAGTTGAAGGAGTGCTGATTGTTCACCACAGCAAACGTCAATGCCATCAGAGGCAGGCGCTTAGCACTGCTTATGTTGTCCAACTCCTGGTACATCGCTGGCGGCCAACCCATCGCCTCCAACATGTAGCGCTTGGTGTCAAAGCCCTCAAAGGCAGCGCCATTGTCAGCGTCAGGGGCCAGACACCAAGGCCATTCGCTCAGGATCAGCGGCTCTGCAGCAGCAGCAGCGCAGAGCGTGATGGCACTGTCAGGATAGGTCTCCTCCTGCAGAGACATACGGTCCAACTCCCGGTTGGACATGACGAGCCTGTAGATGGCCTCCCGGATGGGCCTGGTAACCATCAGGGCGGTGGCGTCCCTGTTCTGCTTGGCCCACTTGGGGTCCTCCATGGTTAGCTTGCACACGTACTTCCATCGAATCATCAAGTGAACCACGTCGAGCGGCACATACGATGGGATCTCTCTGCCCCCGACTCCTGGAGCGTGCTCCTGCGGTTGTGTTCCTTGCACGATTTGTTTGTAAGTCTCTAAGCTGGTCGTGAGCCCTTTGATCAGCACGTCGCCACGAGGCGCTCCGTTTCGAGCCAAGTCGCCCCACACCTCCGCCGCAACGTCCACCTTGCGTAATTTGACCACTTTGTCGGCCAGCGCCACCATGATGTTGAAGTCGCGCCTCGCGCTGCCGTTGAACTGCTCCCGCTCCTTCAGTTCCTGCTGCTTCTGGGCCTCGCGCTGCTGGTGGAACTTTTGATTTTTCTCGTTGCTCGCGGAGCTGGAGCTGTTGATTTCGCGGAGGTTGGTCGAATCTACGCGTCCGCTGCACAGACGATGTGTCACTCGGTCAAGATGCTTCTGGGCGCTTTTGACATTGTAAGCGCTCTTCTGAAAGAGGCTGCTGTGGAACCTCTCGAGGTCTTCAAGGAAAATATAGTCGTTCCCCCTGAGGCTGGCCCATAGAGACAAATCGTCCACAGAGAAGCCGCTGTTGACAATCTGGAGCTCTCTCAATAGCGAGTGCCTGTGGAGGACCTGGACCACGAAGCCGACCTTCCGCCCCTCGATGAAGTCCTCGCAAGATATATACCCCGACGAGTCGGCCAACATCAAGTCTGAATCTGAGCTGACCACGTACGCCGTGGAGGACTTCCCCAGCCAAGCGACAGTTGCATCTGCCTCGCCATGGCAGAAGGTCCGGTCGATTTCGAGGAGTTCCAGCACCTCGATAACGACGCCGATGGAAAATTCTGGTGAAACTGTCTGACGGCCAACGTCTTCGCCACTCATGACTTTCAGCAAAGTGTTATATGCTTCAAGCCTACGGTTAAAAAGTGTGAGATGTTTGTCTGTTCCACTGATGCCATCGAAAACGAAGTGCATCTCGATACCGCTGTCCTTGGCCAGGGACAGCAGGTCGAAACAGGCGGCGGCCAGACGAGACGTGTCCCCACCTGTCTTCCAACCTCCAGCGTAAGTGACGATCGCGGCGGTGAAGCTGGGGCCGTCGATGATGATGCGAGTGCCTCTCTCTAACTTTTCACGAGTCCAGAGATCGCCACGGTTGTGCGGACTCACGAAGGTGGTGAGGCCGCGGACTCCCATGGTCGCAACTCACCACCTTCGTCCGAGCCAACGTGGCTACGGACGCTGGTGGGGTTACGCGAAGCGTCTTGAACAAGGAGCGAAAAGGCCATTCTGGCCTCGGCGAGCCTCAGCCGCGAACCAGGTAACGGCTCGAAAACCACAGCCCCTCCTGAGCCAAACACGGTCCGGTCCTTATCTCAGCGCCTTGACTGCATTGCACTTGAATGCTGTCGCCATTGACCCTGAATCATCGGAGGACTCCACACGGGCAACGCGTCAATGTAGAGCTGGCTGGGCACGCCCTGGAACATGGTCCCTCACCCACCACTTCCATGAGTGTAACTCGAATAGGTTATCCCTGAAGGCAAAGACAGGGACTGATGAGCAGGTGGAATCCGGGGGGACTCCACATCGTGGACTTGTGGGCAACCGGGTCACATGCTATCGAATAGTAATGCACAAGACAAGCCTGCCTTATGCTGATGGTCCTCTTCACCCCCCATGCCCCAGAGGGCGATCAAGAAATCCATAGTTCAACGGGGCCCTGCTCACGCAAGAAGTCAGTCACGCAATGACCGCACAACGTGGGGACAGCTCCTGCGTCGCACCAAGAAATCCCACCAGCACTCTGGGCGTAGGTGGTTTAGAGAGTCCCACCAGCCCTTTAGGGCGTCGGTGGTTTAACGAGTTTCCTCTTCCACCCCTCCTTCTTCCCCTTCGGGGAGGGGTCTACCCCTTCCCCTACCCCCTCCCCACTGACCTGGACAGGGGGGGCGGGGAGCGGTCAGAGCGTCCAAAACGGCCTCGCCGAGGAAGCCAAAATCATTGATTTTACTAAGGTTTTGGCCACATTTTGGCCTTCTGAGGGGGCAGCGCTAATTGAAGCCCCCCTCTTCCTTGATCGATTTCCTCCAAGATGGCCCCAAGAAGCGCCCAGGAGGCACCAAGAGGCCCCAAGATGGCCCCAAGAGGCCCCCAGGAGGCCCCCAAGAGGATCCCAAACGGCCCAAAGAGGCCCCCCCGAGGCACCCACGACGCCGAAAAGACCCTCAGGACGACCCTCTACTCGCCTGGGCGTCGTTTCTGGACGGGCTGGTGGGGATACGCGAAGCGTCTAGAATTTCCTCTTCCACCCCTCCTTCTTCCCCTTCGGGGAGGGGTTTACCCCTCCCCCCACCCCCTCCCTTGGACCTGGACGGGGGGCGCGGCGACGCGTTGGAGCGTCCAAGATGGCCTCGGCGAGGAAGCCAAAATCATTGATGTTACTGAATGTGGGCGGAGGGGCACATTCTTTTTGCAGCAGACGCAGCATGGCTTGCTCTGACGATTTAAGGAAGCTTTGAATCGCACGATTGCGCAATCCGCGGACCTTGCCCGTATCAAAACACACCGCGTTGAGAGAGGGGGGGGGGGGGGAAAGGGCGGGACACACACGAGAGACCTAGAGCCACAATGATCACGGAAGACCACGCTTCCCAGCCCCCCTCCTGGCACTCACTAACCTGTACACAGATGCATGAGTGTGGGCGGAGGGGCACATTCTTTTTGCAGCAGACACAGCACGGCTTGCTCTGAACATTTAAGGAAGCTTTGAATCACACGATTGCGCAATCCGCGGACCTTGTCCGTATCAAAACACACCCTTACCCATATCATGTTCTGGGGGGGTGGGTGGGGCACCAGCGACTCAGGAGCTGGCCTATGTGGAGACAGAGCTGGGGAGGGTAGGCGGACGCCACCTTGGACCATAACTATTTGTTGTCCGGAGTGCGTCCCGCGATCTCGGTGAGAGGCTGGCCAGAGAACGAACAATGCCCTCCCCTCCCAGCACAGCGGGCCCCTGCGAGCTCCTCCAGAGGCAGGTGGGAGAACAACAGGGTCGTGCGCTTTCTGTACGGTGTGCCGAAGGCACAGTAATCTATTTGGACTGAGCTATACTTGTCTAGCAGACGTTTAAACACAGGGAGATCCCACAACATGCTTGAAGCGGGGTTCTCGATCACGCAAGGCACGCCAAGACACGAGAGGGTGTCAAAAAGTTTGGCGGCCCATCTAGCTTGTTTGTTGCCTTCCAGGACCTTCCGCCGATCGCTGGGGGGAAGGTCGGGGAGGCCGAGCAGGTGCTCACGATCACGAATTGGTGCTGGCCAGCCTTTTTTGCCTGATCGGTTCCGCCTTGCACGGGGCCAGGACGTGCACACAAGGCCAATCCAACACAAAGCAAGAACATTATGAGAGGCAGCTTCGAGCAAGCGCCTCGAGACATCCCGATGCAGGCAGTCTTCTAGCGGAGAGTCCGCCAACTCCCAGCTACGCGTAAAAAAAATACGCCGACGGAAGGACCCCACATGAGAATCTCTTTAGCTTGCATGGGGGTATCCTCCTGCCCCTTCCCTTCTCCCACCTACTCTTGCCTCCTCGTTCTCCTCCTGTCTGCTCCTCCTCCTGCCTCAACCCCTGCCTCTTCCTCCTCTTCTTGCCTCCTCCACCTCCTCCCCCTCCCCCTCGTTATGCTTCCTCCCCCCCAGCCTCCTGCCCCTCCTGCCTCCTGCCTCCTGCCTCCTCCTCCCATCCTCCTCCTCCTCCTCCTCCTCCTCCTCCTCATCCCCTGTCCTCCTCCTCTCCCTCTCCCTCATCCGCTTCCTCCTCCTCCTCCTCCTCGTTTCCTTCCTCCTCCTCCTCCCCTCCTCCTCCTCCTCCTCCTCCTCCTCCTCCTCCTCCTCCTCCTCCTCCTCCTCCTCCTCCTCCTCCTCCTCCTCCTGCCTCCTCCTTAGGCCTCCTGCCCCCTCCTGGGGCCTCCTGGGGCCTCTTGGGGCCTCCTGGAACCTTCCGGGCCTTCCGAGACCTACTGGGGCCTCCTCAAATATTCCTCCTCCTTTTCCTCCTCGTCTTTCCTCCCCTCAGCCTCTTCCTCTTCCTGCTTTCCTGCCTCGTCCTGCATCATCCCTCCTCCTTTTCCTGGCAATCCTCCTCTTCCTCGTCCTCGTGCGGAACACGACCCAGAGGAAGCGCACGACGTGCGTCCCAGCCGATACGCGCCGGAGGACGACCCAGAGGAAACGCGCGCCGGAGGATGACCCGGAGGAACCACGTGAGCTGCGGGACCCATAGCAAGGCTCCCGCCTGACGCGTCCTCACAATTCACTCACAGACGAAGGTCCCGCTTGATACTTCCTCCAAATTCAAACCAGAGGAGCCCAAAAGTGACGACAGTTACAGGAATCCGATGACCCGCTCGGATTAGTAACATGATCTGCGGGCCCCATAGGGAGGGGGCTCCCGCCTGAGACTTGCTCGCAATTCACTGACAAACGGGGCTCCCGCCTGATACTTCCTCCAAATTCAGACAAGAGGAGCCCAAAAGTGACGACAGTTACAGGAATCCGATGACCCGCTTGGATTAGTAACATGATCTGCGGGCCCCATAGGGAGGGGGCTCCCGCTTGAGACTTCCTCGTAATTCACTCACAGACGAGATTCCCGCTTGATACTTCCTCCAAATTCAGACCTGAGGATCCCAAAAGTGACGACAGTTACAGGAATCCGATGACCCGCTCGGATCAGTAACATGATCTGCGGGCCCCATAGGTGTGAAGCGACTTCATCCCTCTTCTAGTCGTCTTGCCCATCATTCTCTTCTCGCCCCGTCTCTCCTTGTCCCTGCCTTCTCGTGCTGCCTTGCACTTCTCTTGACCGCCGCAGTTTAGGGCCCTTGAGCCGCTCTCGCCTTGCCGGAAAGAGCGGACCGCCCAAGCGAACCCTGCCGGGCATTCCGTCTCCCGCCTGGATGGCTTTCGATTGAGACATCCTCAAATTGGTAGCGGAGCGCGCTGCGCTCCTCGGCCTCTCCGCGCCCGGTGCCATGGCAACCGCAAGCTTCGAAGGAAGCGGTGTCAAAGCATGTCCGATAGCTGGTCCTCAACATAGCTGGGAGCCCTACGAAGAGGATCTCAGTGCGTGGGTGCTGCCCACAGAGCTGAAGCCATAACATGTAGGGCCACGCATAAAGAGTAGAGGTGTTTCGTCCAACTTGTTCTTCAAGAACCAAGCGAAACTTCTTGACATGGCTCGGTTGTCTGCCGATCCAAAGAATGAGTCCGGAGCGACTGGGTCCCTTGGCTTTAATTACCTGTTGTCCTCTATGCAACAAGAAAACAGAACCAAAGACGACGTGGCAAAGCTGTGGCGTTTCTCGTCTTGGCTAAAGTACACCCGGAACGGTGGAAAACTGCAGGATTACGTATCCGAAAGCGTCAGGCTCATTAGCGAGTTTGAAGCCGATAAATTCGTCAAGCTGGAAGAGTTTGTCAAAGCCCTCATTCTCATAGTGAACGCAGAGCTGTCCCAACACCAACTCAGCAACCTGAGCATTCGTTTAGACATGGATGCAACCCTGACTGTTAGAAAAGCGAGGGATGCAATCCAGAAGGTGCTGGGAGACACCCCCCCGGGAAAAGCTGCGACGGACGGACTCGCCGCAGACGTCTGGGGCGAGCCTGAATGGCCCGATTCTCAGTGGGAAGACGCGGCTTACTACGACCAGCCACGGCAGGAAGCCAGCTGGGAAGACGCCGCCTACGGAAATACAAAAGGGTGTTTGAGGTGTGGTGGCCCCAACCACTGGGTCGAGAGCTGCCCACACCCACCCAACAAGGGGGAAACGAGCAGAACTATTACCCCTGGAAGGGGTTCAGGCAAAGGGCACGGAACAGGAGCTGGAAAAGGCACCCCCTGGCAGGGGGAAAAGGTTCAATACTTACCCGGCTGGTAAGTACAACGGAAAACCTACGACTGCAAAAGCCACAAGCTCCAAAAGCAAAGGCAAAGGCAAAGGAAAGGTTCACACAAACCGTCGGGAAAACACAACCACGCATTCACAGCTGATGACTCCCGCTGGTGGATGGGGCCTGGTGATTGGTCAGAGCATCCTGACTGGAGCTCTGGTCAAGCCAGCGGCTACGACTACCACCCCGACTCGGATGCCCAACTAGCTCGGTCATTCGTGGCGGAGCACTCAGACGAGCCTGCTCCTGACAGCCAACCACCGCAACCGCCCGACAAGCGGGGGCCACCGAGCCTACCGCCAGAGCAAGCGCAGAAGCTACGCGCCTTCAGGGCGCAACTGCTCAACAACGAACTTGCGCACCTCCGGCCCCTCCAA